GTGGCACCAATTATGGGTATCAGTGATGGATCTGCAAAAGTCATAGTGCATGATAACTTAGTGCACTGTAAATTTTGTGAACATTGGGTGCCTAGACAAGCGAGCATTGCAGATATGGCTTCATGAGTAACCAAAAAGCTTCTTTTCAGAAGGAATGAAAAATTTCCTAAAACAATATTGGAAATGCATCATCATGCATGGGAACAATGACAAAAATGACATGCACTTGTTCTTAATGGAAATAAAGGGTATTGTGCAGATATTGACTTTACTCTCTTGTATCCATTTTTGCCATATATTTAAAATAGAAGATACTTTTTAAACAAACATTCTCTCCCAAAGGAGAGTTTGAATTTCTTATTAGTCAATTTAAACATGTAGAATATGCTAAAAGTTGTTCTGAGAAATATGCTTAGATGTACTTTAAAATTAAAATTTATCTATCCGGAGACATAAAGTACCTTGGCATTTTGTACCACTATGATTCTCAGAAATTTCACACACACCAGCAAGTACAAAATAAAAGAATGCTGGCATCAGATACAAGCCGTGATTTCCGTGATTCTGTTACTGATTACATGTAGTCTTTTATAAATCACAGAAAAGACAACTATTCATATAAGTCTGGTAAGAATATTGTTTTTAATTTTAACTAATTTTAAACTTTATGTATAAAAAAAAAAACATTTCAAGTTTCTGAGAAATTATGTTATCCAATAACCAATATCAAACTCTACACTGTTTCCAAAAGACTTCAAAATTGATTATCATTCATTTTGACTAGTATTTCTTTCATCATATTTCTGTTACATTTTATCTCAAGTCATTATTCTATAACCTGTCTCAATAGTAAGTTTGTTGAGGTCAAAATGGCAGCTGATGTCTAAAACAACTTAGTATTTTGTTAACTGGGGCAAAAGATGGCTTGTTAATTTTAACACTTCTAAAACTAAACTTCTCTCTATTAATCATCTGAGAGATCCCTCTTTACCTTCTATCAACATGGCTGATGCTAACCTCCAGGAAAGTGACTTGTTGCACCTTCTTGGGCTAACATTCTCTGCTCACATAAAATGAAAAGACTATATTGAATCCATTGCTGCATCAACTGCTAAGAAAATAGGTTCACTGTGTTGTGTAAGACAATTTTTCTCTCCAGAATCTCTCCATGTATATCTATGCATCTACCATTTGTCCATGATTAGAATATTGCTGCTACATTTGGTCCGATGCTCCTGTTATTTACCTTGAGCTCCTTGATAAAATCCAAAGAAGAATTGGCAATATTATTGATCCTGATCTGGCGTCTCAGCTTCCCTCACTTTAACCACTGTCGTAAGATTACCTCTATGCCTTCTCTGTAAATACTTTCATGGTAATTGTTCGAATGAACTCTTCACTATGGTACCTAAACTTATAAATTTAAGCGTAGTACTAGACTGTCATCGAGATCTCATCAATTTACAGTTGAACTGGAAAGATGTAGACGTAATTTCTATGCTAACAGTTTCTTCTGGCTCCATTATTTCCAATCAACTTTAATCTGCAGAAAGTTAAATACAATGTTAATTGCTATTTCCTGTCTTCCTGACTACTCTTTTTTTTTAATGTTTCTGTTTCTAATTCTCCCACACCCAGTAACCTGTTGTGTGTTAGTGGCTTACTGGTTAAAAAGAAAAAAATAAGCAGAATGGATAGGAAAGAGTAAGTTTCCAGTGAAATTTGAACTTTCACACTTTATCTTTGGAAAGTACCTAAAAAATGAAGCTAGGAAAACTAATCATTAGGAATTTATTAAATTCTAATACTAAGAGTTGTGATAAAAATAAATAACTATATTCTAATATTATACTAAGAGTTGTGATAAAAAAACAGAAATAAGATGCAGTAGCCAAAGCTTAATAACAATGAAAAGGTTTCATGTTTGAAATTCAAAGAGATTATTATGATTCAAAGATTATAACTGTTGTGAAATACAAATTCGAGATACCAAAATCTAACAAGTACAAAAATTTAACTGAGAAGTGTTGATATTATTTACATTGTTTGAACTGTTGTCCTTATCTTTATTGCCATATTCACAACATTTCAGACATTGTATGCTCCAGCCATCTTCAGGTAATATTTGTTGGAATTTCAAAAGACCTTTTTACTCCTGGTAGGATTGTTCTAATTCCCCTTGATAACTCAACCCTCCAAATTTTTGTTTCCTCTGCTGTGGCCAGGTATTGAAATCTGAAGTGTTGAGAATATAGCAAATATAAAGATGAGGACAACAGTCCAAACAATGTAAATAGTTACTATAGCTCATCTCAGAAATGTAGACAGACCTGGGAAATGTTCAAATGGAGAACATAAAATGAGACACAAAGACATACTAGAGTAATGAAAGAAGCAAACTATTAAGAAGCAGGAAAATGTTGTTAGAAACAAAGAAAAGAGCATTAAACTTATGTCATATCAATATTCCTATAAGACAGTGAATGATGGACAATCTCCTGACAAATGAAGAATTGACTTGAGGCAACAAAAACTAGGTTTTACAGAAGGATGTGGAGAATATCATGGACTAAACATGTAACAAGGAAGTTTTCAGGAAAATGGAAACAAGAAGGACATTTAGAATCAAAAAAATATTTTAAATTTCTAGGGTACATAATGAGGAAAGGCGGCCTGGAGAATCTGATACTCTTAGGACAAAGACAACAAGAGAAGAAATCAGCAAATAACTTACTACACAAGATTTTGTAAATGGATGGCAGAACAGGAACTGGGAGAAATAACAAAATGACAAACCTTAATAAGCACTACAAAAGATAGGAAGTTGTGGAAAACCATAATTGCTTATGTCCTGAAGAGACATGGTACATAGAAGATACATCTGTAAATCACAAAGTATATTGACCAACAGACAAGCATAAGCAACTTCAGAAAGTTTCAATCCACATCTTCAATTCACTGCTATACATCACTTTATACAAGTTTGTCCCGATGTGTTGTCAAAAATGTTCAGTTCAAAAATAAAGAAAGGCTTTAATAATACAAAATTTGCCTAACATTTACTTGTTAGAAAACATTTTTGCAAATATTCAGATGCAGAGTTATCGATCATTGCAAATAATTTTTTAAACTTTGATTTGCACAAACATAAACAAGATTTATTTCAACCTTCACAAAATATCTGCTGCTACTTGAACATTTATTCTTCTCTGTAAACTTCAATTATCACTTTTTATTCAACTCCAAAAATTTAACATTGATGTGTATATCACATGGTTCATGTATATATACAGTGGTTGTAATCGTTGGCAAAGGACCTGATATATGTGTCACTACAATTATAGACCTTTTTACTTAGTAGTAGTATGGTAGCAGTAGTAATAATGTTAAAATTACAAGGATAATTTTTAATTTTCCATGAAATATAAAAATAAACATTTATCCCACATACACACACCTTAATATTGGAAATAAATTTCTAAGAAAAAAAAAGTCAGTCTCATGCGTCCCTCACATACTGGCGCCACATAGCTAGAAAATGAGATATATATATATCTCATTTTCCAGCTTACAAGATGCACTTTTTTTTTCTCAAAAACAATACCTTGAAAAATATGTGTGTGTCTTCCAAGACAAATGTAAGACAGCATCCAGGCTCAAGTAAGCTTGGACTGTCACCTAATTGGCGTAACTGATAGGGACATGGATTTGTATGTTGAGTCATTACACTATAATGTTTGCTATCTAATTCAGCCTTTTATATGATGTAACCTCAGTACTTAGCTGTTACAAGTTTTTCTAAAACTATAAACCTTCCTGGAGCTGAGCCATAAGCTTAAACATTTTCTATTGCATAAGACATTAACTAGATGAAGACAACATTGCCACTAATATCTTATATGAGGGGTATTTCTGGGAGGCATATGTAGGAGGTATTTTAGCTGCACTCTATATAAGACACCATGTGCCCCTTTATCATGTCTTTGGGCTTTTTGAAAATTGTTTTCCTTGTTTGTGTATTTCTTTAAAATGTATTTTGTCCATTTCTCTTTTGAGAGAGATATTTGTTATTTGTTTCTAGTTTTCATGGTGTCTTTCCTAAATAAAAGGATGACATCAGTATGAAGCAAAAACTTTATTTCTTGAAACCAGCATGTGTTTACAGAGGTTTAATTTACATATTTAATTACAACACTTACCAGCCAATATTCACAAAACAAAAGTGAACAATTTACATCAGGTTCAGTGATAGCAATGTGTCTGGTCGTCTTCTCAATGTCGAGTGAGGCTAATACAAATTATCACTTGAAGGTTTTGGAATTAGTATACATTAAGTCCTACCAACCACCTCTCTGCAATCAAAAGTGGTTGGTAGGCTTAAGAGTAATTAGCCTTTTAATGTTATATTTATATATATATATATATATATATATTATAGTTTGGGGATTGTATATAATATGCACATTTTTTTTTGTTCAATTTTTGCCCTGATGAGAGAAAAATTGTTAAACTGTTTTTAATCATTATATTTTGGTATTACCAATTTATAGTAATATGTATTTTGTTACCCTGTTTTTACTATGAATTTTTTCTTTTTGTTATTAATGACCTTTTAATATGTTTGATTTTATTGGCCTAACAGAATTCTGTACTCCTGCAAAAATACATACTAATGTCATATATAAAATTATTATAATATATATATTATAATAATAATTGTGTGTGTATATATATATATATATATATATATATATAAAATTAAAATTAAGATAAAAATATTAATTACCAATTTGTAATTTTTATTCAAAGTAACGTTTACCTGTTTTGTTTGCTTCAATCAACAAGTCCATGCAGGCAGAAGATTTTAATGCTCATATATTTAATAAAATACATTAGGACTTAATCAGAAATAGAAATTAAGTTTTTGTCCTTTACTGAAGAAAAATTAAAATGATTTGACTGACTTTACAGTTTACAAAGAGCAAGGGAAACTCACCTACCTTCAGCACCAATAGAAACCAGCCTCACACCTTTACTGGCGATGAAATCCAAGGCTTTATTCACATTGGCTATTTTGTGAAATCGCATCTTGCCTCTGTCTGGTTTGGGGAGTTGTTCACCGGATATGACCTCCAAGAGAAGCATTAGTTTTAATCCATTGCGAAAATCTTCTTCTATATCTTCAATCTGTGTTCCAGCCTTCCTGAGATGGGAGTTACACCAAGCAGTGAATGTCTGAAAGAAGAACAAAATAACTAAATGAAAACTAAATATTACAAATTAAAAAAAACTTAGCTTGCAAGCATTAGAGATTTTAAACTAGTGTTGTTTAACATGAAGAGTATTGGAACAAATAGAAAATAGGTATTAATAAACCAATGCCTTTTCAGATATTCAAAATGGATTCCCAGCATAGCAGAGAGAAACTAAGTATGAAGAAGATGCACTTTAGAAACATACTTGATTGCATCAGCTGATAAGAGTTTAAATGTATGACAACTGGACAGTGTCTGTAGGGCCTAAGGTACTTTTAGATCAGGCCGATTCTGTGAAGACGATACAAGAGCAAATTCTCTGTACTGAGACAAGATACAGGATAAGTAACATTCTTCTGTATATAGTAGTCCTTAAATCAAAATATAAATGATAATTGTTGAACCAATATTTCTATTTGCTTTCACTTTATTTCAGTGTTGTCAGAATATACTGTTGACTGAACAATGTCAACTTCAATTTTTTGTGACAAAATATGATTAATATTACACAGTTGAAATTGCTGGAGGTAACCAAAAGACCTAGCCTAACAGTTTTTTCTCTTGCCCTTTGTACTTGTGGAATTTTCTTCTGGCTGCTTGCATTCTAGACAACTTTGATTTTCAAAAAATTAAAAGCAATGTCAATCGTTATCTTAAGTTTCCTCAAATCCTGGTTCTTTTATTATCCTCTCTCCTTAATGATTTTTTCTCAAATTTTTTCATGTTTGTATTTTAGTGGCTTTATCACCTTGCCTGGAGTGTGAAATGTTTAAAACAAAGTAAAAATTACTTTTTTATATAATTTGAACCATAAAGATAAATGACTATCATTTAAATAATTGCCATAAAAATGAAAGAATGTTCTGATCCATAAAGCTTTAAGATAATGTCACTCAGTTTTAATGAATTAAAGACAAAAGTAAAATATACTAATTGCAATACACTAAAAGGAATGTATACTAAAAGTGAAAACTTGCCAATGAATTTCAGAACAATATTTTTTTTTTTTCAAATGCAATGGTAATATTTTGCTTGCATTTGTTTAGCTGACATTTCTGATTCTGCAGTCTTTTTTAAGAAATGGTCAATTGAATTAAAACAGAGTTGAAGTTATATCAAAGACATATTCCAATTCCACTGCATCCAGCACACAACACAAAAGATAAGAAAGCTATGCCATTCTAACAATCAAAGTATATATGACTAACAATGATTTTAACATGCCCTTAAAAATATACTTTCCAGTGAGAAATTCTTCTGCATTTTCTGTTTTCTTGACAAACCAATTTTTTCTGTTGCCAGTGTAAAAATAACTGATAATTCTAACAGATCATGAGAAACAAAGTTTATAAATGGTATTTTGCACACAATCTTTAAGCACAATTTTTATTTTAATATTCAATATAATCATTAATTTTTAAGAATAATGCTTGATTGAAAATTAAGACATCTATTGATGAGGAACCAATATTAGGATCTACTACCTTATTTGATCAAACTTTAAATACAGAGAAGAGTTTTCCTAAACCTTGTTATCACACTATTATAATTAAAATATACAAGTTATTGCATGGTGTAGAGATTTTGTTCACTTATCAAAACTCAAGCACATATTCATTTCCCTTTTTGGTCACCAGAAAAATACCTCACAAGCTGTAAAATAATTTAGCATATGATTATAATTACCATGAGGGAAATTTTCTCCCCCCTCCTGCCACACCTCAATAACCATTTTTAGCAACACTTGAACAAATTACATATAATGAAGACAATGTGATCCTTATCAGCCAGACTGGCATTAAGAGAGACAAACAAGTAGACACTAATTGATTTCAGTTTAACTAAAGAGAGAAAAATGCAAAGGTTATAAGTGAAAAGGATTTCAAATAATACAATAAACTTGTTAATGATAGAATGTGACATCTGAAAATAAAACAGAAATGGAAGTGTCAGATTTGCTGAGATTTTAATAACCTTGTAATTTTCACTGAAATATATCCTCTAATAATCATATTCAACTTTAGGCATACACTTTGTCCAGTAAAAAGGATTGGGGGTTACATTTTCAAATTTCAGTCAAATAAAGGACTAAAAACAATAAAATTAGTTTGGATTTAATCTTAAAATTCTAGCATCAATGAATATCAGTATTGAACTAAAATTGAATTAAGAATACAATATGATAATTTGGCTGCTGCTTGATAAAAAATTATGCCATATTATGCCTAGCCAATACTGAATGGGTTATCATGTGATAATAATACTGTAATAATTAAATACTAAAAAAGAAAAACCTTAATGGGCCTAATTTATTTTAAAAGTTTATACCAAATTCTCTCTACTGGTTGTTAAGTGAACTGTACTTGAAGAAAAGGTAAAGTTTGTGTTAACTCAAAATCCATCAAGCAATTTGAGAGTAATTTTGTAGGTTGACAACACTGAGAAATATCTTTACTTTGGTAAACTAAGCCAGTATAATAGCTAATTAACTATTGAAGAAGAAGTAAAAAAAAAAAAAAAATGCTTGCATTCTCTTAAGATATAGCAATGACCATCAATGAGCTATTATTATTTCCTATTATTAGCAAAAACAATATTGAATTTGCAGGAAAGGGAAGATAAATGTAAAACTAGCATCTTGCAGTATTTTATTTTACTTAATCTTTTTCTGTATGTGACATCATTTGCCATACAAAAAGTTTTTCCTGTCACCAAAAGTGATTCTGCTACCTGAACAATAGTGTTTGAATTTCATAGTTGTGTTGTCATATCCTGCTATGTTTACAGAAAACAACTTTGAGTGAAATTAACAATAAGGATATTGCAACTGAAAGGCCTTGAAAAAGAATGCAGTAGAAAGTAAAGTAATATTAATAATGCAGTGTGTTAAAGGTTAAAATACAAGAAATTTAAACTATAAATTATAGCTTTAATGAATTTAATAAGTCATATGTTGTCAGTTTATTCAAAAATTTAATTTCAGTGATAAAAAAAAAAAAATTTACAATTAAAAAGTTTTAAAATTTTTTTTCTTAAAAAAAAAACAAAAAAAAAACAACATTTAGCTCTCCTACATATAGAAAATAAAATAAAAATTAATTGGAGACAATATCAGGACTGGTGGTTTCATTTCACCTTCCGTTCCTAAATTTCTTATACAAAAGAAATTCAGTTCTGAAGCAAAGAGATTAGAGAGAACTTATCCAATGAAATCTTACATTTTGCTTTTAAGGAATAAGAAAGTGAAGCAAATAGCTTCAAAAGAGAACAAAGTAATATTAAATAGATTGCAGACATAGTCCAGAGTGCCATTCCTATTTTAGATATCTCTTTTGCTATCTCTTTCCAAAGACACTTAATTTAGGCTGTGTCTGGTAATCTTTATTTAAAAAAAAAAAAATAAATAAAATTCTGAAGAAAGGTTTGAGAGACAATCTTATGTAAAAAGATTCTTTATCTGCCAAATAAATGGAATCTGTATATTGTTAAGGATGTAAGGAAAAGATTTTATTTTTATAATGTTTATCCTTTATATGGCCCAAAAGTCACACAAGGTAGAGGGATACAGACTAAGAGGCTTATGAGGATATGTGAGAGAAAATAACAGACTTGAACAGGTTAATATTTTAACGATCAGGAAAGCATCAACTTTGGGAGTTGATTACACAAAGGTGAAGTGGGGGGGGGTGCTCAAGTGGAACTTACATTTCACCAAAGGAATATGAAGAGAATGATGGTAGTTTGCTACAATGTGCACTGCACAGTAGGTCTTAGTTCCACCTAGTCTACCCTTCATGGCTAAGGAATGTAGTTCATCTGAACAGTTTCCATGGAAATAGCAATAGAGCATCACCTGAACATCCAAGCTTAGAGCACATGGTATTCCCAAGTGGTCACCCATCTAGGTACTGACCAGACCCGATGTCCCTTAACTTCTGCTATCGTATGAGAACAAGCATTTCAATGTGATATAGCTCTAAGTCAGGGTAGCAGTTGGAATATGGACTCTAAGTACATTGCAAGGTAAACAAAAGAGAATTTTTTATATACAGTACTTGTTCCAAACAATTGATTTTAAAATGACATTACTGATCAATCATAGAAACTTGTCAAATTTGAACTCATACCTGCACAAGAGATCAAATATTTTCTCCTATATTTCCCTCTTCACAAATATATAGATATATCATTCTCCTTAATGAAATCACAAATTCATGTCTATCAAGTAATCAAACCCCATGTCTTTTCAGAAGGTAACTTTTCACAGCTCTCTACAGCCTCCTTTCATTTAAGGAAGGTGAATTGCCTTGACTCCTTTGAAAAGATAGTGGTTTCCTATGCTTTTGCTATAATTTTGAATTCAATAATTTACGTCTAGACTGACTGCCACCAAAGCTATAGACTCCAATTTACTCTGCTAAATAACCCAAATAGTTTGGTTCATGCTTTTCCCAAAGGCATTAGTATGGAATAAACACAACAAACTAGGCTGAAATTTTAAGTCTGCTTGCCAATTCTACTTTCTGTACCAATAAGCATTATTGTTACCCAGACATCCGTTTACATACATTGTGAAACCACACTTTCCTTTACCAGATACAAACACCAGTGTTTAGCCTTTACAGATTATCATCAAAAGAGTATAATGGATTATAAATAATTTATAGATAGGTTTTACATTTCCAACAAATGTTTTTATTAGCAACTGAGTGGTAGGTCAGTGGCTACTAACTGACCCCATTACCAATAAAGAAAACATTATACATGTATATATGATAGATATAGTGAGAAAGAGAAAGATATTTATTTAAATAATAATAATTATTATTATATTATTATCATGTAACTTCACAAATGACAAGTACTTTCATATCAATATTATAAACTCACTGTTCTACTCATTCTGGATGTCAGTTTAACAAAACAAATTAAAATATACTGTCCTTGACTTCAATAGAAGTATCAGCATTTTTGATGTAAAAATTTTCTAACCTTGAAAGTTTTTAAAGGTAAAATAACGTCTACAATGGTTATCTATATAAAAATGAATATTTTCCATATATGACAATATTGTAGTTTAATCAAGATTTGTAATTTTTTGTACTGCATCACCAGGTTGAATAAATATATATTCTACCTGCCTCAAAATCTACAGGTTGGTTAAACAGCCTTTCCTTAATCATTTTCATATCTTCACTTTATGAAATTCTCCTGGCTCTTATATACTTGCAAATTTTCATTTAAAAAAAAAAAAAAAAAAAGAGAGAGAGAGAAGCTACCAACCAAGCAAACACCTTGGTATTAAAAGTTATAATTTACAGCTGCATAAATAATAAAACGAGTCTAAGCAGGTTAAGTTAGTCTTCCAATATTAAACAGACTAGTTATAAACTGTTCAACAAAGTGGAAAGGTAGCCAACAAATTGTAGTTATTATTTATAGACAGAAAGAACAAATCATTTGTTTTTTTTAATCAATTCACCCCAAGCCACTAAGATGAAAGAGGTTACTGAAAGTGAAATAGAATAAGACTATGAGGAACTGGAAACCCAATCCTAAACAAGAAATAAGGGATAAACACTCCTGTTCAAGAGACTAGGGAGGTGTATGAACTAGATGATAGGCAAATTTATCTACTCTTATTAAGTAAAAAAAAAACAAAAAAAACAAACAATTACAAGGATAAATACTAAATAAAATTTCAGAGTTTAGCAAAGATGCTAGATGTATAGAGATGAGGTAGATTTTAGAAAGAACCAGAAACCCAATCCTAAACAGGAAACAAAGGCTAAACCTCTACTGTTTAAAAACCAGTTTGTTTTCTCTTAAGTACTCTTAATAATAATAATAATAATAATAATAATACTCTTAAACCTGTCAATTATTATAATTGCTTAACCAATTACAAAAGAAAATTAATTGTTGATTATTTATTTGGAAAAAAAATCTAAATGTTGGAATGTAAGTTTTAAACAGCAAGTTAGAGTTAAAGGGCTGCTTCCACTTGATTGACTAGTGTGGTCCAGTAAAATTAACTGGATGAAGTTATGCAGCCTCATAATCATCAAAAATACAAAGAAGCTTGTTTTCATTATTTGCGTGCTGACTATTTTCCTCATCTTTCTTCTTGCTACCACATTTTGGCTGTTGAGCCTACCAAGCAGAGAACTTGGAGCCTTAAGCCTAACCTTCTTGCCTGTTGATGAGTAATGCTGCTCATCATGCTTAACTGCTGCTTTTCTCTTGTTACAGAGAGAAAAAAAAACAAAAAAAAACATTACAATAGCCTAGTGGATTAAAGCTCTTCCTAATGGAATTTAACGTAAATATTTCATATATTTGTAAGGCCCAATATTTGATTTGGAACAACCCCTCAGATAGATGCTTCCCCAATCACTACAATTTTAACTGCACTTACTGCCTGTTCTTACATCCATAAACAACTTCATTCAGAAACTCTACCTTGAAAGGCTCTTTGGCCTTTTATTGAGTGAACATTTAGTTTAAAAAGAAAAAAAAATGAAAATAAAAAGGGAATTAAGAATTTGGCCCATCTTTAAGAACAATGAAGCTATCACATTTATAGCACATCAATGACGCAATCGAATACAGTGAAAACAATGTTATCAGTTTTAAAAAGTAAAAATCTATTTTACAAAAAGTGGGCCAGCTGTCAAAATGAATATCTGAATCTTTGACATTTAATGCAGTTTCCATACAGTGCCAAAGCTGAATTTTTTTTTATTTTTTTCATGTAAAACTTTGTAGACATCTACTTTCCAAAATTGAAAGTGGATGTCAATGCTGAAATTTTAATGACACTTTTGCACTCATCAGATAGGGAGAAAAAAAAATGTCCTACTTAAAAATCAGATTGTTTTCAGTGAAATAATTCTATTTTTCTTCAAGCAAAGCTTTAGTTTATTAAACAGAATAAAAAAAAAAAAGCAATGATTTTGCCAGACCCCCCCACCAAAAAAAAAACCACTTCTACATTTCTAAGCACACAGAATGCTATTCTATCACTATTCCATGCCAAGTGTTGAGATGAGCTCAACTCTTTAGTGATGCCAGTTCAGGCCTTTACTAACTAAAACTCACCATACTATGCCTGCAGAATCAAATCATCCACATTTCCTCTGTATTCCATTAACAAAGAGGAAGTTTCACTCAGACACCAACACCCTCAAGAACTGCTACTTTATGAAACTACTGTGTGGATGCTTCTGTGATCACTACATTCTTAACCTCTTTAAGTCAAGGGTCAATCACTATCTATCCTTAGCTTCACTTCTTTCTACCCACTTCTGACATTTATATCACACACCTCATTCAATAAACCTTTTACCATGAGTAGCTCTTGAGCCTTGAATTGAGTGAACTTTAGTAGAAGGAAAGAAAGAATCAAATATAAACCAGTGTGAGGAAAAGAAAAAAAAAGAGTAACTAAAGGCCATCAAAACATTTTTCAATAAGAGTTAGAAAATTATTAACATAAAAAAGAACCATTCAAATATAAAGTACAACACTATGAACCATTGCCTGGCTACAACGTTTTCTCAAAAAGAATATTTTGGATCTCTATTATAGCTTAAAAATGATATTGCTTACAAGAAAGACTTGTAAACATTTGTATATCAGCTAATATTCTTATTTGAATCTCTAAAATTACAATACCTCAAACAACTTGTGCAATTTCCACTGGAAATATCACAGAATTTTCTATCTCTTGAATAGGTAATTGGCAAATAATTGGAAGAGTAATATTGCATTACTAGTTTCAGGTCACAATTTGAGCAAGATAGAGCATTTTAACTTTCAGTTGGTATGTCTTAGGATGAAGACAAAGGCATAACCAATTAGAAATCAGAATTTGATAAATCATATTTACCTATAGAAGGAGATCTAGTAAGATCCATATTACTGATTAGTCAATGTTTGGTCTAGTTAATAATATCTTGAAACAAACTGAGGAAATACTGCTATGTAAAGCTAAATATCTGAATCACATTTTTCTAAACATACTCAAGTTCATTCAAAAATTCCGGAAAATGAAAAACTGAAAATTTACTTTATTTAAATTATTTGATGCAGAAGAGTAAAAGTTTTAAAAAAAAAATTAGGTTAATCAAGAAACTTAAACTTAATGAAGCTTATAACATTCACAAAGAACTCCAACATTCACACAATACCTATTCCTCTCAAGATCAAAGTCATAAATATTTTCATTTTAAATTTGGACAGTTTTGTTAAGTGATATGGTTTTAACACAGGAGATGTGTGATAACAAAATGATTTTGTTATAAGCAAGGTTGTTCTTTTTTTAATTTATGAACTTGCAGAGTTATGAACACATGTATACCCCAGTCCTGCACAGTAGTATTTATGAAAAAAAAAAAAAAAAAGAAGCTTATCAAAAATAGAATTTTCTTCTTCAGTTATCATTTCAAGCAGATCTCCTGATCACTGCAATGTCCAGGCCCACCATGACTAACTTAGTTTAAAATATACAGACTTATCACTATCTAAACACTAGAACTTCAGTAATTTTATCATCAATTAACAATAAAACAAACAAGACTTTGATATTGGGAACTAAGATGCCTACAGAAAATGAAAATTAAAACCTCTTCAACATTTTGTAAAATATTCACAAGCTATAAAGACATTTTGCAATGGTTTTCTGATTTCCGCTATATATTGCACAAGGAGATAGCAAAAAGTTTGCAGCATAACTATTCTCCTAATGTACGATCCATTCACACAAACTTGTTAGGTAGGTTACTCCTGGTTTCCATTTGTTCCTCTTGCCTCAGCTCAACTTATTTCTCAAAACCTGACTAAATGACCAACCAGCTTTTTTTCTTTTTCTCCTCTTTCAACCTTTGGCGAAACCAAAAACTGTTCAACATGTCTTTGTATTAATGTACCTCACCACCAGTAACATGCCACAAGCTTATTGTCTTTCTGTA